TGCTGAATTCCATTTATACTCCAGTGGTTTGGAAAATGTGAAAAGCAAAAAAACCAGGATTGCCTAATTAGGCTTCTAAATTCACATTTAAGAAACTGATTGAGGAAGCAAGTCCTGTAAAATACTGACTGTTGCATAGTTTCCACTGACTAACAACCAACCAACATCAGATTTATTTACATGTCTGACCATAAATCCTTAGAATATCTTGGAAAAGTAAAATCTTAGCAATTATGACAGGAAAATACACTACTTGACCAAAGATTATTCACAGTTGACTGAAATTTAATTGTAGCATTTGCACATGCACAGTTGTGAATCAGGAAAATAAACTGGTACTTGCTTGCCTTCATGCAACATGCTTGCGCCTCACTCTATAGTGCAAGTTCATCTTGTGGCAAACTTTCCTGATCACTGTGACCTCTTAACATAAAAAATGACAAAACAATCTAGCAGAGGGTAGACAATTTCACATTAGGCGGTTACAAGTGGTCCATGCTTGGGGTTTGTTTTTTTTTTAATAAGTTACCAAATTTTATACTACTTTGAGCTTCTTGAGGAAAAAAAAGTTGTATTTTGAAAAGACAGTATCCATGAATGTAATGGTAATACTTACAATTGATCCTTAGGTTTTCTACAGCCATGTAGAAGACTCAAGTTAAAGAAAGTAAAAAAATTTTATATAAAACACTGGCATTTAAAACAAAAAATAAAGTAAAAAAAAAAAATCACATACATAAATAGCATGGATTAATTAAAATCTTGAACTTAAATTCCAAATGTTTAACTGGAACTAAATCAAGTTAAATGTAGTTTGATGATGTAGTTTGCAACATTAAGATTTTACTTTTGTCAGATCTATGGGTAGGAAAAAAGTATAACCAGAGATCCTATTTTAATAAAACGGAGTAACAGTGTTACCAAAGTTACTGATGAGTTAATGACAGGACAGAACTTAAATTTTTTTTAAAAAAACAAATCTTAAATGGTAGCAGTGAGATTCTCAAAAGTACCTGAGGTACCAAGGGGTTGTATCTGAGAAGGGAAGGCACGAGAGGCAACTTTCTTTTCTGTGATTAATACATGCAGAAGTCACACAGTATGATGTAGAACGAATGCATAGTTTTCACTCTGTCGTGGCTAAAGGAGTCGTATCAGTACGTTGATCAGTACACAGATTCATATCAGAACTTTACTCTAATGATTACAATAAGAAGCTGTAGAGGACATCTTAAAAAAAAAAATCAGAAAAGCAATACTTGCTGTAAAAGTAGCATATTACATTAACTGTGTTCCACATTGTGTTTCATACAATGGTCATACTTGGCTTCTATCCACTGAAAAGTCCACTGGAAATTGATCCACAAAGTACATACAAGTCTTCTACCTTCTGGAGGTAGCTAAGAATAACTCTTGTGCTTTCCACAAAAGGATATAATAAGGATTTTCTAGCAATAGGGAAGCCATACAGGCTTCTTTAATCATTGGACGTGCCATTAATGTGCGTCTCCTCCAGAAGTGCTAAAGAGAAGATGTACAAACATATATTAAAATAAAATCTGATTATTTAATTTCTCCATAACAATCAAATTTCCATTTTACATACTCACATGATCTCCAGTGCCTGCTAAATGAATGCACACAGGTCTGTGCTTGCTATTCCATCTTCTGGGTATTATGAACTGAAATCTATATGAAATGAACACCTATTTTAGCAAAGTGTATCAATGTACAAGCTGCACCAGAGAAAAAGACAGAATAAAGTATTTTTGTAACCCATGCAGGCAAACTGCCAGCAATTCAGCAATATCATTTTTCATAAACAGGTCCAGCAAAGAAAGGAATCCAAAAGTAGGACAGAATAAATGCCAAAGAAAAGGAGCCAAGCTGAAAGATCATATTGCTAAAAAAGACCACTGCCTCATCATCACAATTTAAATTTTGCCGAGTGGAGAAATGGAACTTCAGATGAAGAGCAGCCTAAACAAGTATGACTAGCTCTCCTAGACAGCATTGCTATTTTTCTCCTGAGGGCATAACAGCTCAAATTGAAGATTAAGATGAGCAATATATTTAAATTTTAAAAAGAATCAAAAACCCAACATACATGGGGTTGATACCCATGTATGTTCATACCCATGAAACTATTCTATATGCCCAATATCAATCACTTAATGTCTTCTGTTGCTACTCAAGTTATGTACAGTCTACTGGCGGGGGGGTGGAAATCAGTTCTGAACCACTAGTATTTTCCCCACAAGATGGAGCACTGTTACTTACAACAGTATTACACTTCAGGAAAAAAATATTACACAATGCACTATGATCTTAAGGGAAATTTGTAGAGCATTTCAAAACCGTAACAATACTGTCCAATGTAACAATTAGCACAACTTGACTACAAACTGTAAAGAGAACATAGATAAGGAAACAATCAGTATACTATAATTTCCAATATGCTACTAACTAGTCCAATAAAGTTGAGGGACAGTTTCTCTAACCAACGGAGAGGTGGAAGAGAACTGATATTTTGACTATCAAACTTCTTCTGACATTCCTTAGTGTTACATGTTTAACTACGTGTAAAACCACCAACCAGTAATATTGATAAAATTGACAATGCCATTATCAACTTGAGCTGACAAACTTCTATGTTTAAGTTATTAAACACAGCTTGGAAAAAAAATTCCACCACAAAAGTTTGGCTCAAAACTAAAAGCAAACAGAAATTATGCTCCCTTTCCAAACCCAGTCCTCAACTGGAAAGCAGTGCTAGTGTGAAACCAGAAAAAAATGCCATTAGGTATCTTCTGACTATTAGGGAGCTTTCTGTTAGGATGCCTTTTTTTTTTTTTTTTTTTTGCTTGCCACTTAAGAAAGGCACTAGACTCTCTTGCTACAATTAAATGAATTGACTACTTGAATACACATACAATATTTTTGTATTCAATGTAAATTGAAGGCTGGAATGATTCCTTCAAATACAATATAACATGCTTCTCTCATATAAACAGCTTCTCCTGCTATGTATAAAACAAACAACTACTGCCCTGGCTGTAGTACCCTTCATTTACAGGATCCTGCTCATTTGGAAAAAAACCCAAACAAATAATTTAAGAAAACCCAGGGTATTCCATAGATTTGTGCCATATGATTTCTACACACAGATTAAACTATCAAATAAATAAGATTTATTTTCACTTTTGGGATCAACACATTAGTACAAACAGTTTGAAATATTTTACAGATAATTTGTATTACAATAAATTAGCTTCACAATAAAACTACTTATAGACCATTCTTATTTCTCTGCAGTACTAGTTTCAGAAAGGAATTACCACTTGATTTCTCTTACCTTGCTACAAGAGATTCGACTGGCAGGATACCTGGGACATAATGAGCCAATGGGGAAATGAAGTGCCCCTCAAGGATTTTACAGTCGGATTGCTCCTCAACCTACAGAGAGAATGGGATGAGAGCAGTAATATTTCATATCAGTGTTTAACTTGCTCTGAAAGCCAATCCCTTAAAGTAGATTAATTTGTTATAGGATAAAAATGTACTTAAAAAAAACCCAAAGCTGAGGTCTATTTCAAATATAGGGATACATGTTATCAACACAGTCAAAATATTTGTTTCAAGCTTTGCTTTTATTAAATGACCTACTAAAGGAATCAAGGAATAAAGTGTAATACTGGCCCATTTTAAATAACTTCCATAACACATAATTTTTGAGCATTTTTTGAGCTTTAAGATCTGACATCCTAGCCCCCCAACTATTTTATTACTGAGGAAAAAATAAAACAGTATCTGTACTGCTTTATTCTCTCAGTTTCCTTCCATTCTCCACTAGTAACCAACATAACTGATCATTTTCCCATCCCTTCCAACCCCACTTCACATTTTTGCCATTACCTCCTAGTTCTATCAACAGCAGCTCAATTAAAAAAAAAAAAAAAATTCAAAACAGCAAACTGTTAAAAGTATTTAGCTTGCCACAGCATTGACCACTAGTGCATTTATTTGACTTTAGAACTACTCTTTATTTCTGACCCCCTATTCACACTTTCTAGATAGAGAAGTCTTCAGGGCAATGATTACTTCTATCTGCACACCTCACTTGGAAGCACAGGGCCTCCTTTTTCCAATCAAGAGCATTTGAGAACTCACCCTACATTGATTTCTTTTGCCTCTACAGCCTCGCTTGCTCTTCCCTCTCAGATAAATGCTCATGTTCTTTTCTTGATACAGAGCAACTGGGAACACCAGTGAAGTCAGTTAATGCCACCTGCTAGAAAGCTGGTGCTCAGCAAAAGCTAACCCAATATTGACAGAGGTGCAGTTCATCACCCTGTCTCTATGTACTCCCTAACTGAAGTCCCCAGTTGCCAATCCCAGCAGCAAGTCACGCTGTGATAATGTCATACATCAGGAAAATATGGATGCACATGACATCAAGATTCAATTCTTCTATCCTGTAAAAGCAGCCTGGTAAGTACTAAGTTGATTTCACCTTCATATACCATCAGGAAAAGAAACTTAGTTAAACTGCATCACCTCCTGCTTTTAAGTACCTTGTCAATGAACACTGGATAATCTTTTGAAACCAGCGTCTGGCATTTTTCCCGGTTTCCAATAATCTTTCTGAATTCAAATATTCTGTTGAAAGGAAACAAGTAGAGAAGATTCAACTTTTAATCTAAAAAAAGAAAAGATATAGATATAAAAAAAAGTTCAGGACCTAAAGAAAGCCACAAAGAAAATCAAAGTTATGAAGGCAGCTTTGCACTTACGGATTAATCAGGCTACCATAAGGAAGGTATATAAGAATGTTTTTAAGTTAAAAAAACAAGGCTCAGGTACATTGCTAGCGGTTGCACAGCTCTTAAATAGTATTTTACACCTGATGTGTTGAAAACTTAAGTCATTTTTCAGGGCCAAATTAAGACATAGCAACCTCCCTAACACTTACACATCCTTGTAGCCACATTGGGGCAATACAGACTGAATAGGTGAAGAACAGGCTGGACTGCCAACATCAAAGTGTAGTTGCCAACAATCTGAAGTCTAGCTGGAAATAAATTCCTAGCAGCACTCAGGGAAGTTCATGAACGACACAAACTGGAAGGTGAGGTTGATAGCTGGAAGGTAGGGCTACCATTCAGACCTACCTGCATAAGCTGGAGGAACACGTCAACAAACATCCTAAAGCTCAACAATAAAACTGCAAAATCTTGCACCTAGGACAGAACAGCCCCATGTAACAATACAGGCTAGGAACTTCCCAGCTAGGTAGCAGCTTTGCAGGAAAAGGCATGGTGAATGTGAGTTAGCAGCACATCCTTGCAGCAAGGAAAACCAATGGCATACCCTCTGCATTTAGCAAGAGGGCAGCCAGCAGGTCAAGGGCAGAGGGGTTTGCATTGCCTGGGAAAGAGGAGGCTAAGGGGCAAATCTAGTTGCTTTTTTCTACTACTAAAATGGGCTGAAGTCTTACAGCAAAAATGAAACAAGACCGTTCTCAGAGGTATACAGTGAGAGGATAAGAGGCAATGGTTGCGTGTTGCAACATAAGAAATTCCCACTGGAACACAGTGAAAGATTTTTTTCACAGTCCTAGTGGTTAAGAACCAAAAAAAGACTGCCCAGGGAAACTGTGAATAATCTCCATCCTCAAGGGACTTTCAAAACCCAAATGGGTGAGGTGCCAAGTGAATTGAATCAACTAAGAAGTTAGCTTTGTTTGGAATAGGGATTTGGACTAGATACCCTCAAGATGGCCCTGTCAACCTTAAATACTCTACGCTAAGAATAACTTGCTCATTCTTATGGTTGTAAATACACACAGCAACATTACCTAAGCAACTAAACCAGAAGATTTATGTGGAAAGTACATAACAATAGTATAAAAGGAGTGATCTGTTCACCTCCCAACAGCAGAGGAAAGAAAATCCAGTTTACCACCATATCAAAAATAGCTCTACTATATAGCCTTTTCTTATATAGAACAGCACGTGCATCAAGTATTTTGGAGAAAATAACGGTAAAGGTATGAGTCGTGAGTGTAGATAGTAAACTAAATGAAGAGACATTTTGCTTGACACTAAATCCCCTGAAAAACACTGCATTTATGTATTTCCTTTGTAGTTAGGAGGATACTGAAAGCTAAACTTGCAAGTGTTCCAGAATTTCAACTCTTGATAATGAGTTGAGGATAAAGCATTAGGATATCAACAGTCATCAGCACATAAAACTTCAGATTACATCTAGGCAGGGTAGTCTGTAGTATCAGTCAATCTCAGTTAATGGTTGAAGTATAAGAAATTTAATAATTTCTTCTAATGGAGCTTCACAGTGATCAGTTTAAAAAAAAGATGCTGACACTGATTCTGGCATGACAGGTCATGCCTTCTAGGGAGCGGTACTCCCTTCTCCCACTAGCCAGTGTGAGGGGTCAGGAGGAGATGGTATTCTTCCTTCTTCATCCAGGTGAAGCCAGGCTGCTGGGGGACAGCTCATCTTCTTCCCATTCCAGGGCAATACATAGAACAAATTCGTCTTCCACTTTTCATACCAGCAGGCTAGCAAGCCTGCCTTATGTATCCCCTCCAGCTTTTGATCTCATGTGAGAGGTTTTGTCCCCCACTATGAAAAAGGAAGAGCCATAGCCAATACCATTATTACTACCAATGCTTCCTCATTGCTGTTTGACATTAGTGTGATTACCCTTATAGACCCCATGCAAGAGAAAAGCCTTGCCTAGTACTGCAATCGCTAATAGTAGAATTATTCAGAAGTCCCCCTATATAAATAATAATTGTGTTGGGGGGGGGAGATGGGGATGGGACGATGAAACTTCATCATGTCTCACCAAGAACCTAAAATTTTTTAGGAGAGGCTTTTGATAACATTAAAATGTCCCATTTCAAAACAAAACCCACATTTTTTGCTTATTCCAACAAAAGTAAACTAAACAGTTTAAAAATCCAACATTCTCGTTTTGCAGGAAAGTCTGCTACTTAACAGAAAAATCAACTGAAAAAAGACATAAGACATACAGAGCAATCCAAGCACCACTTCCAGATGAGATGTTTCACTTGGACTTAAAAAAAAGCCCCCACATAACTCAACTGCTATCCACAGTGAACAAAATTTTATTTCAGTATTTTTAAAAGTTTTCTTTATTGATTTTAAAATACATAGGAATTAGCTTATTAAATGCAGATTTATACTTTTCTATTTAAATACTACATGATGCAGAATATATATATTCAGTCACTTAATTTTACTTAAGAGATGCAAATGCTAAACTTCCAGGTGTTATTCTTAATAATAACTAATAAAAATCAGCAAATATTCAAAAATTAAGAGGTACTTCCATTTTTTCTTATTTTCAAGACCTCTAACAAGAATGAATTTACTACTTTGGGCTACGAGAGAAACTTCTGATAACATCTTACACTTTTAAAGCTCATTATTATTAAGAAGTTACAAAAAGCTAGCAAGATCCTCTTCAACATCAAACAGAATGATTCCTCTGCAAAAAATCAGCAAGTTTTGTTTTTAGAAACACTGTCAGAGATGCTGCTTGACGAATGTTATCACATATGCATAAGTGAAAAATGTAATTGGACACATACGCATCCCCTCAAGAAGAGCGTCTTTAAACACAAACATTTAGCAAACCCCTTTAGGACTTATTTTAAATCCAGTTCCTTGGTATGGAAACACATGATTTCCTGAACAAAACAAACTTTAACACGTTTGGTTTTTTATTTTTTGTTTTTGTTTTTTTTTTAAAATAGGATAGTAAAAATTGTTGGTACTTCAAGGATCGTATTTTTCTTTTAATATAAAGTACTGTTTATGCTGTTATTTTTTAACAAGTCACCTTTTCAGATCCTCTGGCTTTCCCCATCCTCTGATGAAAAGCTTAGTGAGGAGAAGCTTTCTGTACAAGACATCTAATTTACTCACACCCATTAGCAGCAAACTGACATCTAGAAAAAAGAACAGGTCAAAATAAGGCAGTTAGAGGGGTTAACTTGAGTGGCAAGTTCATTGATTGTAACACAAAGTAGGTTCTTATTCTGGTATCTGTATTAATCGAAAAGCCATATCGCTTTATTCCGAGGAAGTTAACCTTGACATTCAGGTTGATTCTTTTCATTTTAAACAAAATACAAAGGCAGTTAATACAAACTCTAGCTTTTTTAGGAAAATGGAATTTAGGAGTAGGAATTTAACATGCCTAATATAACCAGAAATGTATTACATAATTGATGACAAGCCAACTGAAGATGCACATAGGATCACCAAACTACATCTTCAAACAGTCCTAACTGTATTTTACTTGAACCGATAAAACAAAGAGTGGCATTGATCTCTGTCCTGTCAATATAGCTCTGATGGCAAAAACTTTTCAGTCAACATGGGCTTTCATAAACACATCTCAAACTGAAAGCTTGAAACAATATTTGGTTTTCTCTGGCTACGTAATTATTTGTTTATAAAAAAGAAAGAAAAAAAAAAGTAGCTCCAGTCACTGATGCAGAGAAATCTTTTTTTTGTAAGCTTGTCTTCGTTGGTGTCTTAAACATATATCCTAATTCTTATTTTAGCCCTTTCTTTCCAATTTTTGCCAACTCATTTCTTACAGTTTTGAAAATGATGCTCCCACTGCCTTCAGGGAAAAAACACAGGAATCATGCCATCAAAATCCTTACAAGTATCATTTCTCCTTCAGCAAATACACTAGCTCAAATATTGCTAAAGCCAACAAGATTTTAGGCAAGCTAGTATTATTTTCAAAGCAATACTTACCAAAGTGAACAGAGAGCCACTACTGTGCTCTTCCAACAAGGAAGGAACGAAAAGCAGAGAACTGAAATCTGGTTTCTTGGTCAGCAGGATATAGGTTATTCAATTAAAAAAATAAAAAGGTCCAGGATCTGTGTACACCTAAGAAAATAACAGATTTAATAATCAAAGACTTGGTTAGTAAGTTACCTTCAACTACTTTCTAGTATTTCCAGATCCCTCCATACTAAATGGTCTAAATAACTTCATCACACTCCAAAACAGTGTAGTTTAATTAATGTTAGGTTTCTTAAATTTTAATTAAAAATTAATTTATTCTGCCACACTTTAATATGGTCATTCTTAAAATAACCTTGTCTGATACAACAAGTTAAAATTGTGGTCAGATTAATAAATACATTCCTTTGCACTTCTAAAAAGCCAATACTTAAGACTCAATATACAGAAAAAAGAAAAACGCTTTAACACCTAGAGTAAGTTACTATCAAAATAGAATTTATAGACAAGTTAAGGCACTTGAATACTAGAATAAACATCCTAGAAAGCCACAGTGGTTCTACAGTCACTCATTACAGGGCAGAAATAAGTACCTGAAATCACCAGAAAGTCAAAGTAGGGACCTTCTATTTTAACACTGTTAGAAAGTGTTAGTTCCTACTCCACCAATCCCAAAAAGCTGACTCTGTAATCTTATCATTCTGATCCATATCTGCTTGGTCTAATAGAATCACAACCTCAATATAAGCTTTTTCTTTGCCTACTCTGGAGATATCCATTGACCTTACGTGCTTGGTGGGGTGTCAGACAGGAAATGTTTGGCATCCTCTGCAAGGTCCCTCTGCTGCTTTTTGGAGCGGGGGGACAGCTTGGTATTTTGCTGGTGCTAGATGAGAACTGGGTGGTGGAGACAGGGACAGCAATACGGAGCAGACCCTGTATAGTGCTTGGAAGTCAGTTCAGAGTAAGCACACACAAGAGTAGATTTATGCTGTCAAAAATATACAAAAACTAGATTTGCAGTTCTGTCAGTACACTGCTTACCAGTAATTGTGAAAAGAAATTTTCATTAATGTTTTGATGCTTAGCAAAGCAGCCTTGCATGTTTTGTTTGGTTGTTTCTTGGTTTTGTTTTTTTAAATCCCCTCCAAAATAAAAGCCAAATAAGAGAAAACATGAAGATGTTGATTTTGTTGTGAATCTGAAGGCTGGCCTGGTGAGCTGTGTTGCACTAAGGGAATGCCAAAACAAATTTCTAGACAAGTACATTATATTTAAATGCAACATTGATTGAGGTGAAAGGGTTGTCTTATCCTGTATTCTATTTCATTGATTCAATAAAGACTCTAAAGTAATTCAGGATATTTCAATTAATCAGGTTCAAGATTAAACCACTACTGAAAAGAGTGCAAGAAAACACTAAACCAAAAAAATATTCCAAGTACATGAAGCATGCTATATAGAACTTCTCAGAAATATTACAGAGATAAAATAGGGGTTATGTTCCTGTGTTGTTTATCTTGGTAACAAAAGGGTAGGACACGCTTCAGTCACTGCCCATCAATGTCTACACAGACAATTACAAATACTTTTACTGTCAGAAAAGGCAAATCCAGCTGTTGGAGGCTAAGGTTTATAACTTCACAGTAGAAGCAAATAGAGTATTTTAGCAGTGACGGTTTGAACTTGAGAAAAGAATCAGCAAAGCTTGTTTCAGAATGCGACTGGATTTCCACCACTTGATACCATCACACACATCACATCACGATCCCTTTGTAAGATCGGAAGCACAGCTGGAAGCAGTGGCCTGATAAAGATGCTGCATAGTTGTGTAGCCCAAGAAACAGTACGCATGTTATGAATATTCAATGGGTATATTGATAACGTGGTAAGCTTTACATAATTGTAAGTTTTGAATAGAAATTGTAACAGGTGCAAAAGCACATTAAGAAGTGATCCACTAAAAAAACCCCTACACTTTAAAATAATGTTTTCCAGAGAAGACAACAAGGAAACCTATAGATAAATTATAACTAGGCTCTTGCTCTAAGAACCTTCATACTGCACAGTAACTATAATTTTTGGTGTGTACACTTACTTCACAAAAACAGACACAAAAATACATCCAAAATCCAACATGTGAAAGGTCCAGTACTCCTTTTTATCCAGGGCATGTGGCTCCAGTTACAAGAAAAACATCACTAGCAAGTACATAAAGACTTTATTAAAGTCCCAGACTACTGCTTCTTTACATGAATATGAAACCGCTTCCACCAAGAAGTCAACATGAAAAAGCAAAGAAGGTGTATCTATTTTAGAAGGTTGAGTCCTTAACTTCCCTGGCCTATTACTTTGTTTAAAAATCTCTCTTCCAATTAATGTCAGGTCATGCTTTTTTTTTTTTTTCCTTTTCCCTTCAACAGAATAAAGGCTGCTTACAAAAAAAAAAAAAAAAAAGACACGAAGAAGTCACGGCGACGAAAGAAACAAGCCCCACAACAATTTCACACGATGGAAGCTTGCGGATAAACAACGGGGCCCAAGCCCGAAGCGCTACACCGACCGCCGAGC